AGTTGAAGTCCACACGTCTTAAAGTTGCCAAGATTGACAAACACTGGTCTAAACATTTATAAAAACTGCAAATCAGAACTGGGAGTTGAAGTCCACACGTCTTAAAGTTGCCAAGATTGACAAACACTGGTCTAAACATTTATAAAAACTGCAAATCAGAATTCTGGGAGTTGAAGTCCACACGTCTTAAAGTTGCTGAGGTTGAGAAACACTGATCTAAACAGTGATTCTCACCATGTCAAGCTGAAGGCAAGATCTCAGCCTGCACTAAAGCTGCCAAATCATTTTAAATTGAAATAAATTGTCCCATAGATGCCAAGTCCTCCTCTTTCTACCCTGGCTGGGCTGGGAAGCAGGGCAAGGCGGGGACTGGTTAGTACAGGAACTCCTAAAACTATAAAACTAGATTAGGAACTTACAAAAAAACAAAACAGAAACCAGAATGTTCATGTTAGTAGTCCAGTACTGGTATTTCTCACTACAGACCCAAATTCTCTCTTCCTAGGATGAGCAGAATTATTAAAAAATTCTTTAAAACCTCATTAAAAATCATTTAAAAATTCCTAAATTCACAACGCCTAGCAACAGCCGCTAATTTGTAGCAGCGTTAGCACAAATTCCTTTAAGAACATTGCATTAAAAATGCAAATTACTCCGCTCCCTTCCTCCAACACCGTAATTTTTTGATGCAAGCTTTTAAGAGGCACTTTCCCTTAAGATAAGCTTGTTTTTCAAAACGTCATCCCTGTTGTTTGTATATGGGTTTCTTTAGCAGGTCTTTCTGACTGGGGAATGCAGAATGCGGACTGGGCTTTAAAGCTGAGGTTTGTGCTCCTGAAACTTTGAACTTCCACATTTACTCCGATGGAATTTATGACTGCACATTTTACACGCTCAAGCACCACCTTGAATTGTGCCCTGGAGTCAAGGGGCATCCCGCACAATTTGTCCAAGACCAGCTGACAATTCAGCACTGGAAAAACATCTGTCTGTCGCCAGTGGCACTTTCCAAACCAATGTTTCTCAACCTTGGCCACTCTAAGATGGGTGGACTTCAACTCCCAGAATTCTCAGCAATGGCCATGCTGGCTGGGGGATTTCGGGAGTTGGAGGCCACCCGGCTTAGAGTTTGCAAGGGTGGGAAACATTATTCCCAACACTCTTCAAAT